GCTTTTGCATCAACAGTGCAAATATTAACAAAGTGAAAAAAGCAAACAATGTCTTAGTATTATTACAAAAAAGTCTTTGACCTTGAAGATACCCTGAAAAGATTTCTAAGACCCCAAGGAGTCCATGGACTACACTTGGAAAATACCGATTTTAGTACATGTTTTTTGCTGACCTATAGCTCTGTCAGGTAATTTTCCCCTAAAAATTTTGTATCTATTGTTCCATTGTATTTAGTATTCCAGAAAAAATTTAAATGCAACATAATTATTTTTCTTTATAGCTAACCTATTTATTCTCTTTAGGTAGTAGCATTTTTTTTTTTTATTTTTTTGGGTAATTAAACTTTTTTTTTGCCAGAATATGTCTATGTAGGTCTATTTGTTCATTTTCATTCAACATAGTGATCCTCTTTAATCTTAACACCTAGGGTTTTTTCTAGCTCCAAAACCTTTCAATTTTGACTTCTTTTTCATTTTTTCTCCCTTAGGAGCAGCAGTAAGTCTTTTTCTTTTTTTTTCTTTTTTTAAGATTTTATTTTAAGTAATCTCTACACCCAAGATGGAGCTCAGACTCACAACCCCAAGATCAAAAGTTGCCCAGGCCACCACCTGAGCCAGCCAGGCACCCTACAATAGTAGTATTTGCTTTAAATCTGTCCTTTGTCAGGGTGACTGGCTGGCTCAGTCTGTAGACCATGTGACTCTTGGTCCCTAGGGCAATGAATAGTTGTTGTTTTATTTTTGTTTTTTATAAATGTTAATTTATTTTTAAGAGAGGGAGTGTGTGTAAGCGGAGGAGGGGCAGAGAGAGAGAGGGAGACAGAGGATCCAAAGCAGAGTCCCTGCCATCAATGCAGAGCCTGATGTGAGGCTCAAACTCATGAACCATGAGATTATGACCTGAGCCAACGTCAGATGCTTAACTGACTGAGCCCCTCAGGTGTCCCACCAGAGTCATCAGTTGAAGCCCCATGTTGGATACAGAGCTCACTTAAAAAAAATCAGTCAACTTATCTGTTCTTTGTCCTCTACTGCTATCATCTTTTCCCTTATTATTTTATCCTTTCTCCTTTTCCTACATGTTTTAGGGGACTTTCTCATATTTGTTCTCTACATCATTTATTCCATTGTCTATAACCCTGAGTTCTTTGCATCTTTTTTTTTTTTTTTGTAAAGTGTAGATTTCCTGTAGTTCTCCCATATCTTACCCAACTCTCTTTTCATCTCTCTTGTGGCTTTTATGTTTCATGTACTGTCCTTTCATCTTCTTTATTTCCTCTTTATGACTTTTTGCTCCTTTTTTTGTAGAGAACATGACTTTTTTTTTTTTTATTATTGCTTATTCGTTTTTGAGAGAGAGCATGAGCAGTGGGAGGGGCAGAGAGACAGAGACACAGAATCGAAGCAGGCTCCAGGTTCTGAGCTGTCAGCACAGAGCCCAATGTGGGGCTCAAACCCATAAACCATGAGATCATGACCTGAGATGAAGTCAGATGCTTAATCGATTGAGCCATCCAGGTGCCCTGAGAACATGACTTCTTATATCCTAATAAAGAACTACTTATTTTCAGACAGAGTAGGAAATGTGGATTTTGCTTCGCTCCATTACTGCTTGCTTTTAGATTTTCTGAGCACCTTGTCAAAGCTCTAACTTTTTGGCAAGTTGTATGCATAAATCCTGACTCCCTTCCCTGGGTCTGGTACACATTCTCCTAGAGAAATTTTGGCATGCTGAGATCTTCTTCTTTCCCATGCCTGGTTTTCTGATACTTTGAACCAATTGGTTTGGAAAGAGTACATTTCTCCATCACTTGGTGTTTCCTTCATAGTGAGGAGAGGTTCACTAGGATAATTTTCCTGGCCTTTCTCTTCTCTTTCCTGGGGGGAGTGGGGGTTACCTAAGAGGTAAGTTTGAGGAAATGGGCATAGGTAGCTTAATCCCTTCATCTAGGAAGCTGCTTTGCCTATAAAGAGTAGAATCTTCTGGAGCAACTGGGTGGCTAAGTTGGTTAAGCAGCCCACTTTGACTGAAGTCATGATCTTGAGGTTTGTGGGTTTGAGCCCCATATCGGGCTCTGTGCTGACAGCTTGGCACCTGGAGCCTGCTTTGGATTCTGTGTCTCTATCTCCCTCTGCCCCTCCCCCACACATCCTCTGTTTTTCTCTCTCTCAAAAATGAATACACATTAAAAAAAAAAGAGTAGAATCTTCTGATTATCATCTTCCATGCCTTAAGAGATGTAGGAGCAGGCCTTCCCTCTGGAATAAACACACAGGGATTTTAGAAGTGTAACGTCAAAGACTCCAACATCTGAAGTGTTGGGTGTGAACATTGGCGAATAAATAGGGAGTTAAGTTCTGGGGGACAAATATATATACAGAAAAAGGCTTTTGATGAAGTAGTGTATGTAGCTTTGAGCTTTAGACTTTCGAGTATACTTAGTAGGTTTTGACTTAGTCAGTTTAACAGGTTATTTTAAGCCACGTGAGTTTTCACAGTTGTGTAGCTGTAGCTTTTAACTTCTGCAAGAGGCTTTAAGTCTTAAGCCACCTCATATTTCGACCTTGCCAGGTGACTACAGCTTAATGTCAGGTTGTTGAGTTTATACTTTAACAGAGCAAAGCTGCGCATATTAGACCTTAAGCAAAGATGTGGTCCCTTGCAAGACAGTACACACACCCTTTGGCAGAGCTGCTGCCTGGGCCTCAGGTGGTCTCAGGGTACACCCTGCCGGTGCATCCCCAAACTGTAACTGCGGCATTTGTCTCTAGGTGTGGACCTCTCGGAAACCTCAGTGCACACTGGTGGATTTGGAGAACGTAGTTAGTGGGCATAGTTGAGGCAAGAATGTGCACTCAAGGGGCAAACAAACATCTCAGTTTGTAGCTCTTTGAAGACATGGTGGGCAGAAAAATGTTCATGCTTTTAAAATACAAGCCAGCTCAATCCATCTGGACTAAAAGAACTTGTGACAGTTAAGCTTTAAATTATTCCTGCCTGCCACAAGGAGACTTCTGTTTTCTGGAAATGCTCCATATGTTGATCTTGGGGCTGGTTCCTTGGAGTATTTACTTTGTGAAAAAAATCTATTGAGATATATACTTGGTTTGTGCACTTTTCTGCATATAAACATTTTACTTTTAAAAAGAAGTATATTGGTGTTATATGGAAATCAACTTGACAATAAACTATCAAAAAAAGAAGTATATGGAAATAGTTCAAACCTATGTAAAAAGCATTAGTCTGCCTGCCCCAGATCCATCTATATTTTAATTAAATGTCTTATTGCTTAAACAACTGTTAATCAGGTATTTGACATGAAGTCAAATATGTCCTAATACACTATTTCATTTAAGTTTACTAATTTACTGACATAAAGTTCATCATCATTTCCTACAATATTTAAAGATTTCAGTGTAAGAGAATTATGTCCTCCTTTACCTTCCTGATATTATTCATGTTATTTATTTATCAATCTTATTATAAGTTTGTCTATTTTAACATCTGCTTTGTCTTCTTAGATCCATCTACTGCTTTGTTTTATCTATTTCGTTAATTTTTGTTTTTACTAGTATTATTTCTTTTGATAGGCTTTCTTTAACCTTACTCTACTTTTTAAGATTGTTTCTTCTTTTCCAATTTTCAGTTAAATTGTGATATGTTTCTGTTGAATTTCATTTTATTTATTCCCCTTGAATTTTAGGGAGCTTTCTGGATCTGAGGATTGATCTCTCTCTCAACAACCCTGAAAAGTTCCTAGTCATTTTGTCTTCCATTATTGCTTCATCTCTTCTCTCTCTATTCTCTTCTTCTGGAACTCCACTGAGCTATTTGTTAGACTTTTTCATTCTGTCCTCCATTGCTTTTAACCTTTCATTCATATTTTCTGTCTAAATCCATGAACCACATTCTGGAAAAATTCTTTGGATTCATTTTTCAGTGCACTGGTTCTCTTTTCAACTGTGTCTAATCTATTTAATCAGTCCTTCACTGTTTAATTAACATCATATATTTTTTATTTATAGAAATTCTACTTTGTTCTTTAAAAAACTCTGCTTGGGTGTTCATATGATTTCTTATTTCCTGCTCATAGTTTATTTTTCCTGCTTTTTATTTATTTATTTTTTGAGACAGAGAGAGAGAACACAAGCTGGGAGGGGTGTAGAGCAGGAGAGACAGAATCCTAAGCAGGCCCCTTGCCATCAGCATGGAGCCTGATACGGGGCTCAAACTCATAAACTATGAAATTATGACCCTGAACCAAGATCAAGAGTCAGACACTTTACCACCTGTGCTACCCAAGTGCCCCCTTCCTGCTTTTATTTCTTGAAGCATATTAAACATAATCATTTTAGATTCTTTCATTGATAAAAATTCATTTTGGATTTTTTACATTTCTGCTTCTGCTGTTTATCGTTTTTCTGAGTCTCACTCAAGGTATCTTTTGGTTGCATGTGTTTTGTGATCCTCAGTGTGAAGTATTATTTGCCTTCAAACTTACTGTCAGTAATTCTTTGAGGCCTGGGTTGAAAATAACCTCTTCCTAAGAAAGTTTGTTTCTGCTGGTCGTCAAATTTCTACTTAAAAGTTTTCTAACCACACAAGCAATAAAAATTCTAACCAAAAACCTTGTGAGGACTGGTGTATTAGTTATCTATTGCATAACAAATTACAGAACTTAGTGGCTGAAAGCAATAAACATTTATTATCTTTATGTGGTCTTTGTAGAACCTGGGAGTAGCTTACATGGGTGGTTTTAGCTCAGAGTCTCAGTTGAGGCTGCATTTAAGATGTCAGCAAGGACTGCAGACATCTAAGGGCTTAGCTTCCCTGCAGCTGGAGGTCATATGTCCAAGGTGGTTCACTTAACGGCCTGACAAGTCAGTGCCGGTTGCTAGGAAGAAGTCTCAGTTCCTTGCCTCCTCATAGGACTGTTGAAGAGTATGTGTGACATCACAGCTGATTTCTCCCAGAATGAGTGTTCCAAGAAAGAGAAAACTAGAAGCCTCAATGTCTTCTGTGATCTAGCCATGGAAATCACACAGCGGCATTTCTGCAATATCCTATTAGCTATGTAAATAAGCCCTACTCAATGGAGGAGGTGACTATACATAAGAATGTGAATACAAAAAGGCAGAGATCATTGGGACCATCTTAGATACTGGCCACCTTACATAGTTTATTGTAAATTATCCAGGGAGTCTTTCTTCTCATTCTCTCCAATACTAAGGTCAAGTCAACTATGTTTCCTTGTCACTGATTTTTTTTCTTTTCTTTCTTTTTTTTTTTTTTTACAATAGGATTTGATTTTTTGTTTATTCTTACACTGGGGGTACTATACTCTTCTTTGGGTCCTAACTATTAGGAGTCACTTCCAAATAAATTCTGTACTTAGGTGGTTCTGTGATCTATGTAGCCATTAAAATAGAAGACAAGGCTTCAGGGTTGGTCAGAAAACCTCAGAGTGGATACTAGAGCATTCAACAGCCAGAACTCCTCTTGTAACTCATAGTGGGAATTTTATGCTACCCATGTAATACACTGAAAGATTTTTTTAGAAAATAATATTTTATTCAGAATTTTAATTGAAACAGATTTGTCCAAATTAACTCTATATAATTTCATTATGTAGTCAGAAATAGGATTCAATAAAAACATTACCTTGAATTTTCACTATTATTTAATTTTTCATTTTTGAAAGGGAATTCTTGCCACTTTAACCTCCATCTATCTTCTGCTCTACTCAGTGCATTTAAGACTATTCACGTTCCACTTGGCCACTTCTTACAGACTTTGAAATGTAAGTCTTTTATTGTCATGGCAATTCTAAATATATTCTAATTCTTCATTATAGTTTCATTTTTGGCTCATGAATTGTTAAAATTTGTTTCAGAAATAATTTTAGGGGCGTCTAGGTGGCTCAGTTGGTTGGGCGTCTGACTTCAGCTCAGGTCATGATCTCGTGGTTCGTGGGTTCAAGCCCCACGTCGGGCTCTGTGCTGATAGCTCGGAGCGTGGAGCCTGCTTCGGATTCTGTGTCTCCCTCTCTCTCTGATCCTCCCCCCCTCACGTTCTGTCTGTCTCTCTCTGTCAAAAATAAAAACATTAAAAAACTTTAAAAACAATTTTAAGCACTTAATTTTTGGTTAGTTAATGTTTTCATAGAAATCAAAGATGAAAAATTGAAATGGTATTTAGTGAACTGTCCATCCTACTACTGACCCCTTCCACACTGGTTTATATGCTCACCCAATACAAGTGCTCAGTGTTAAATTTTGGGGGTATATTTCAAAATAATTTTTACATATAATTGCAAATATATATGCACAAGTATAATGTATGATTAAATATATGATAGTCATATATGATACAATATTCAGTATCTTGAATTATTTACTTCAACTATAGATCGTGTACTTTCCATAGAAATCCATAGAGATGTATTTTAGTTTTTCCAAATGTGTGCATTTAAAAGTTATGTTTTTATTATTGATTTCTAATTGTATCTCATTATGATCAGAAAATGGCCAACATAATATTAAAGTTATTTATTTGTTTTTTTTAATGTTTTTTATTTATTTTTGAGAGAGACAGACAGCGTGAGCAGGTGAGGGTCAGAGAGAGAGGGAGACACAGAATCCGAAACAGGCTCCAGGCTCTGAGCTAGCTGTCAGCACAGAGCCCGACGCGGGGCTCGAACCCACAAACTGTGAGATCATGACCCGAGTCGAAGTCGGATGCCCAACCAACTGAGCCACCCAGGCGCCCCTAAGGTTATTTATTGTATTTGTTGATCTTTGCTTCCTAGCTTCGTGAGTGCAGAGATGTTGGTATCTAAAATATCATTCAACTCAGCTGCCAACTTGTGATCTTCGAGAATGAATGTGGGTCATAAAATTTATCAGATAGTGATTCCACTTACAGCTATTGTTCCAGAAATGGTATATTGCCTGGAACAAATCAAAATAGCTATTATGCACATACTGATCTTTCAAAAGATTTTTTTAAATCTCTATCAGTTTGTAAGGATCACCAGATGCTATTTGCTTTGACCTAGAAGAGCCTACAATACACCTTCACAGATTCCCTCAAGTTTCTTTTCTTTCTTTAAGTTTATTTATTTATATTGACAGAGACAGAGACAGCACGAGTGAGGGAGTGGCAGAGAAAGAGAGGAAAGAGAGAATCCCAAGCAGGCCTGTGCTGTGGGGCTCGAACCTACAAAGCCATGAGATTGTGACCTGAGTGGAAACCAAGAGTCGGACGCTTAACTGACTGAGCCACCCAGGCACCCCTATTTTTGTTATAATATAATATAATCCAGAGAAATTTTGATGGTGCTGACATCTCAAGATTATCACACAAGTCACACACGTATGCTGATTTGCTGCTTGCACCTGTTCAGCTGGAAGGACCAAGTACTTAAGCACTTTTAGGGAAACTGCCACTTCTGAGCATGGAAACAGCAGGGATCAGGTTTACCCCACCACTTACTTTAAATGACTAAAACCACAAACAAGAGGCATGTGACTGGCTCAGTCAATAGAACATACAACTCACAATCTTGGGGTGTAAGCTCAAGTCCCACATTGATCATAGAGAATACTTAAAAATAAAATCTTATTTAATAAAAGGGGGGACACCAGTCTGGCTCAGTCAGTAGAGCTTCCAATTCTTTTTATTTTTTTAAATTGTATATTTATTTTTGAGAGAGAGAGTGAGCAGGGGAGGGGAGGTGGCAGATGGAGAATCCAAACTGGGCTTTGCTGACAGCAGGAGTTTGAATGGGCTCGAACTCACAAACTCAGATTATGACCTGAGCAAAAGTTGGACACTTAACAAACTGAACCATCCAGGTGCCCCAGGGTTTTTATTAAATCCAGTTGATTTTATGGGGCACCTGGGTGGCTCAGTTGGTTCAACTCAGGCATGATCTCACAGTTTGCAGGTTCGAGCCTAGCTTTGGTCTCTGTGCTGACAGCTCAGAGCCTGGAACCTGCTTCCGATTCTGTATGCTCCCCTGCTCATGCTCCGTCCCTCTGTCTCTCAAAAATAGATAAATGTTTAAAAAAATATTTAAATCCAGTTGATTTTATATATGTGTGTGTATATCTAAAATATAGAAATGTCTAAAATATATATATATAAAATAAAGACAGAATAAAAGTAAAAGAATGTAAAATGATATACCATGCTAACACAAAGAAAAGATAGATGGAGAGCTATCTAACTTCCAGAATGGTATTAAGGAACTCCAAAAATTTGCTTCCATAAAGGCAATGAGAAATCTAGGGAAAAAAAACAAAAACAAAACAAAAAACCTGTCCAAATCAACTTTTTCAAACGCGTACAATTAAACAAAGCCTTTTGGCAATCTGAGTGTGTTTATTCACAAAAAAAATGACTGACTCTCCATAAAGCAATGAGCTTTGGGGCATCTTAACTTTCCCTAATCCAATACCCCTTCTCCCAGCTCCAAAGTACCATTTAAAACTAATAACCTCTCAACTACAGTAGCTGTGAAAAACAGCAAACTAGCAGCTATTGGAGGGGGGAGAATGGATTTAGAGGTCCCCAAAAGTCCCAATCCCCAGAGAATTGTCATTATTTGAATTGTCTGACAGCCTATTGAAAAGTGCCATTCTCAGAGCTGGTCTTTATTTGACCTGAATAGGATCTCCATCTGAAGATAGCCCTATCCACAGGGCACTTGTAAAAAACAATCAGTGGCAATTGTTTAACATTGCTGCCAGAGGTGTTGTTAACAGTTGGGGCTAAAAATAGGCTGATGAAAAATCTTAAAAGGAGAAGTTGGAGAATTAAGATGTCCACAGAGAGATTTGTGAAGATCTGACACAGTCCTGGGAATTTATAACGCCACATGCATGGAATGTGCACACCCAAGAAAGGCCAAGAAGACCATAATGTCTCACTGCTGGCTAACTTTAAGGCTTTGATCAAGCAAGGCTAATAAGAAGTGTAAACTGCTTGACAAATCATTGAAACCATATCCCAATACACATACAGAGTCATTTGACAAAACCTGGGAGACTGATTTAAGATATTTGAGGAAATCTCTATTCAATCATTAGCTGACTACTAAGCTAACTCAACAGAAATTTCATATAACAAAGAATACACACTTTAAAGAATTCGTCCAGGAAACTCACTAACCAAATCCTGAGGAGGGAGTATCTGATTTACAAAGTTGCCATATTGCTTGATTTAAAATGTCCAGTTTCAACAAAACATTATGAGATGTGTAAAGAAACTTCAAGCGGTGTCTCATCAGATGAACTCAACATTACATTTTAACAGGCAAAAGAAAGAATCAGAGAACATAGAAAAATGTCAATTGAGATTTTCCATTCTGAAAAATTAAGAAAAGAATGAAGAAAATGAACTAAACCACAGAGACCTGTGGAATACCATCAAGTGAATCAACATGAGCATAACTAAAGTCTCAGAAAGAGAGTAGAGGGAAAATGGGCAGAAAGAATATTCAAGGAAATAACAGCCACAAACTGATGGGAAACATTAGTCAGCACACACAAAAAGTTCAATGAATTTTCACGATAAATATCATTCATACCTTGGTATGTCATAGAAAACCCATCAAAGACAAAGAGAGAATTTTGAAAGCAGCAAGAGAAATTCAACTCAGAATATACAAGAGATCCTCAATAAGTAAAATTGGTTTCTCATCACAAACAGTAGAGGTCAGAAGGCAGTGGAATGACATATTCAAAGTGCTGTTGTCAACCAAGAATTCTATATCCAGCACAACTATCCTTCAAAAAACTGATGAAATTAAGGCATTCCCATATAAACAAAAAGTGATGTAATTAGTCACGAGCACACCTGCTTTATAAGAAATACTAAAGGGGGACACTTAAGTCAGTTAAATGTCCAACTCTTGATTTCGGCTTGGGTCATGATCTCACAGTTGTAAAATCAAGCTCTGTGTCAAACTGTGCTGACAGCCTGGAGCCTGCTTGAGATTCTCTCTCTCAATCTCTGTTCCTCCTCACTTTCTCAAAATAAATAAACAAACTTGAAATTTTTTGAAGAAAAAAGAAATACTAAAGGGAGTCCTTTGTGCAAACTGATAGACATAAATGCTCTCTCATCAATTACTACACTAAATAAATGAACTTAATAATCCAATGAAAAGGCAGATATAGGCAGGAGGTGTTAAAAAGAGATATGATGCAACTATAACCTGTCTACAAGAGATATATTCTAGATTCCAAGACACACAGAGGTTAAACTTAAAAGAATGGAAAGAGATCTACCATGGTAACTCAAAGATAGCTAGAGTAACTATAGTAATACCAGACAAAACAAATCTTAAGACAAAAACAAAATAAGACCAAAAAAACCCACCAAAACACTTGTTACTGTAGATTTAAAAGGACATTTTATAACGACAAGATAGTCGATCAGGAATACATAATATAGTAATACCAGACAAAAGAAATCTTAAGACAAAAACAAAATAAGACCAAAAAAAAAAAAAAAACCACCCCAAAACACTTGTTACTGTAGATTTAAAAGGATATTTTATAATGACAAGATAGTTGATCAGGAATACATAATAATTATAAACATATACATAACAATCCAGGCTCAAAATACCAAATACATAAAGCAAAAATGTACAAAATTGAGGGGCACCTGAGTGGCTCAATCAGTTAAGTGTCCAACACTTGATCTTGGCTCAGGTCATGATCTCACAGTTCATGAGATCAAGCCCTGCATCAGGCTTTGCACTGACAGCATGGAGCCTGCTTGGGATTCTCTCTCCGTCATCTCTCTTTGCCCCTTCCTGTTTCAGGCACTCTCTCTCTCAAAAAATAACTAACTAAATAAATAAATAAACTTTTTTAAAAATTTACAAAATTAAATGGAGATATTGAC